AAGTTCTAAACCAGTATGGTAGTTGGATTTTTTTCTAGGTTTTCTACGAATATATTGCATGTGTTATCTTAAAAGGAAGAGAGAGGAAAAGTAAGTTAGAAAAACAACAGTCTTTTACATCTTCCCTCAATACCTCCTTAAAAGCTATGGTGAGTTATACATACAAATCTATAAAAATAGATAAAATTCAATAAAAATATTCTTAAATTACTTTAAGAAAAGATTGGTGATAAAGTGATAATTAATGACATTTCTAAGATATACTGATTTTATATTTTTTTCCTGTTTAGTCATTTAATATTTCCAATGTAAACAAGACATAACGTGTCAAAAATTGATATGAAATTTAAAATGTTAACAGTCCATTAAAATTGGCTTCCAAATAATCCTAAAAGGGTGGGAGTTACAGACAAAACAAGATTGGCCAAGTGTTGCTAACTGCTGAAAGTGGGTGATTAGTTCATGGGGGTTCGAGTTTCTCTTCTCTCTACATGTTTTTTATGTTTCCACTTGTCCATAATAAAAAGTTTTTTACAACTGGAAAATAAGTTCATTAAAATACAAGAATGAATCATGTATGGAATAGTGCATTTGCTTTTAAAAGTCTGGAACAGATAATGATAATTATATTGGAAATACTGCAAAAGTAACTTAAAAGAACATATGCAATATATACAATAACATTTATTCTCATATATAAGTTTTCACCTTTCCTATTAAATTTTCACTTCATGGAATATTTGGTTTTTATACATTGGGAATTAAAGAATTATAGGGCACTGTGCAATGAAAAATGAACACATTTTATACTGAATCATTAAAAAAAAAAGAAAACAGAAAAAAGAAGATTCCAATAAGTCTCGAAGCCTGTAGGGTCAGAATTAAATGGAGAGGTATTCACTGAGTTCCCTGCTCTGTCCTTGAAACCTAGCCACACTGATAACACTAAAGATAAAAGGTTTAATCACATATACATCATATCCTAAAGGCATATAAAAACTCACATAACAAGCTACATTCTTAAATCCAGTTTTGATATCTAAAATTCTTATGACTCCTTCTGGGGGAGGAGGGTCCTTCAAAAGTAAAGCATTTTTAATAGTCATTTTCTTCTTCTCCTTAAACATAAAAAATACTTCAACCAGCCCAACCAGCCAAGCAGGCCTTTCTCTTCCCCTGCGGACACCTCCTGCAGTAGAGAAGTTCATTAAGTTTTATGATCTTCCCAAGTCAGTCCTGCTTATAAGCCTCACAAAGGCCACAAATCTGGCAAACCATCATGTATGCCATTAGACATTACTAGTAAATGAACGCTATTTAGGGTTTGTGGTGGCAATAAATCAGAGTTTGGTTGGCAGCTATCAACATAGAATATTTTAACCTACCATTTAGAAAGGAAAAGGTTGTGATGTTGTTTTTTTTTTTTAGTAGAATTTTTTTTTCACAGTATGCTTCAGTTATATACTAAAATGTTGGATTTTCATTAAAATTTCTTAAAAATACATTTCTTTCTCAAAAAGAACCATTTTGTTCATTTGAACTCTCATAATTAAAGGTTTGGGAAAGAAGGCAGATTTGTGAGGATGGAATATTTTCACAAAGAAAAGTACTTCAATAATCAAGATTAAGGTGGCCAAAAAGATGTGAGGGAATGCACCAAAAGAAGTATGTAGATGAGGAGACCTCAGAGCATCAGGAATATTTAAGAAGAGATCGATGGTAAAATATGGCTAAAAAGTAATTAAGAGGAAAATCTCAACATATATCTATAACTCTCTCACTAGTTGCTTAGTTTAAAATAGACAAATATGTTGATTTTAAAGTCTATGACTTTTCAGTTGCTTTCAAAATGCATAAATATCACAATTCAACTAGTGATGACGTTTCTACCCCAAAATAATTGTATGATGAATTTTACAAAAGAATACATTTTCAAGAAAAAGCAAGCATCTCATAGTAAAAGTATACTTTCCCTACCTCTGAACAAGAAAATAATATAATTGTGGTAGATTACCCATTTATCTGTCAGAAAGGAAAAATACCTTTTCATATGTGGTAGGAGAGAAAAAAGATGTTTCCAACTAAATCCCTCACGTGCATCAGAACTGGCTGTGTTCACTGCCTGATCAGAAACCTCAAAACCTACTGGCAGATCTATAAATACATGGAATTTTTTTAAAGAAATGATTTTGTCTTATTTTAGGAGAAGCACAACTGAAATGACATTATCCACCGAAGTGACAGTTCCCCCCCACCTCCCCACCAGACAACCACCCCCTACCCCTCCATTATGCAGAATAGAGTCATCACATAATGTTCCGGTTTCTGTTACAAATGACTAGGTAAACTTTCTCCAGATTACACAGAATTAATCTCTGGATACTGTATCATTAGATTAAATAAAATAATCTACAGAAAAAACATTATGCAATACACATATATTCTATAATGCTTATTTTATAAGTTCATGATGTTTCCAAAGCCTATCTGTGGGAAGAGATGTGGGGAGGAAGGGGGGAGGCCTGAAATTTGCTGCCCTGCTTTCTTTGCTTTGGTAACACTAATGTCTACACAGATGTTTTATTTCAAATCAAGGATACTGGGTTCGGCGTCCCTGTCTCCTTCTAAGACTACTTTTGGAGGGTGAGGTGGAGCGATGGGTAGTAAGGGAGAAAGGAGAGGAGAGAAAGAGCTTCACCCCCATCAATCATTCGGTACTTAAATCCCAGCCCTCTCGAGCTTAGAGAGGCAGGCAGGAAGATGCCTCTGCCCAGACAGCCGCCTTTACTCTTTGTTGGCTGTTGGCTTTTTACAAAAGAGATAACGTGCAAACTTGAATATGCCGGCCAAAGCATAAAAAGAGGATCTAATTTACAAGTTATCACTGAAAGCCTCAGAAACAATTTTCAAAAGACAAAAATTTCCTTTGTCAGCTACCTCTTGCTTCTTAAATAGCAAGAGCCCTACCAAAGCTCTCTCTGCCAGTAATCCCAGACTCTGAAAAGACTTGTTTCTTTTTCGTAACTCACCTTTGACATGAGGCTGACTATACTTTCCTTTCAGAATGGTGTAACTAAGTCTTGTGCAAATAAGCAACTAGAGGACTTATGCCTCCTAATTGAATTCTGCCTGCTGCTAAATGTCTAAACAAGAAAAGCAGTTTGCTGGGTTTGGTTCTCAAGCTGGCTAGGCCAAAACTTTAAAAAGGCCAAAAAAAAAAAAAAAAAGATACATACATACATACACACAAATAACGAGAAGGGGGTGATAGGGGAAGAATATCAATCCCCTCTCCCTAGTAATATAATGCCCTGTGAGTTGAATCAATCTTAATATTCACAACATAGTCAATACCCCAGTGCTTAGCTGTCAGCAGAAACTGAAGTGGAGCCCTGATAGCAAGAAAATCCTTGGACATTAAGCAACATAATTTACTGAGAATTGTACACTTTCAGGCTTCTAAACTAAAAATCTTCAAGATTTAATGTTTGGTGTCTTATTTTATAGTCAGATAAAAATTATCTACCATTTTAAATCACATTGCTTGCTAAAAGATGGCTAAAAATCAACACACAGTAAAAGTTAGGAATTTAAAATGCCTGTGGTTTTCAAAATGTAAAATATACCTTAAAAGGGATCACTCAACATTTACAAACCATGAATACTATGTGAATGAAAAGGAGGAAAACTATCTTTAAGGATCTCAATATTTTCTGTTACTTATGGTCTTAGCATATATTTTAAAAGGTGGCAAAAACCCATCATCTTCTCTTGATTACTTTTAGAATCAGAATAGCATTGCAGAGTGAAAAATCTGTTTAAACGGAGGGCAACTCTCCTACCAACAAACAAGTATATTTTGTGTGCTATTATTTGTACACTTGATTTAAACACAATGACATTTAATCTTTTAAACAGCATCATTTGGATATTGCTATATCCTGAACTTTTAACTTTCTCTTCTTTGCCTGAAGTTAAAAAACAGCAACTTTATAAACCATAGAGCCAACACAAACACACACACACACACACGCACACACACACACACACACACACACACACACACACACCCCCAACAGTAAAGCTTGTTTAATGCACTTATTTGCCATATACAGGGCAGATAATGCCAAATTGGAACTAAAACATCTAGATTAAATTTCCAATTCCATTTGAGTCACTACTACCACCTCAAGACTAAAATACCCTTAATTTTAAAAAGTCTAACAAGAAAATTAAATTGAAGTGAATTGCCAGAAATTTGTTTAACGTGTTCTTGTAGCTTTTATTTCAGCACTTCTGCAAAACCTGTCTTCTCCTGCATTCCCTGCCTTGGACACTTCAAAAATTGTTTAATCTGCAACTGTGAACCTTTTTCTACTTTACAAAATATATTAAACATATTTACAGCGTAATGACTTCAAGCATAAAATTTAATGAAAGTACTAATAGATGTAGTACATTGAACATGCCTAAACACATCATTACCCTTTCTGGGTCCTTAAAAGTAGCCTTCCCAACTAAAACACTAATTCAAACATCCTACTGGAGTCCGTTCAATTGAGTCTATTCTTCTATTTGTGGAGCTGAAGCTTAGGGCTGTCTAAGTAAAACAAAGTTCGGGCGATGCTTCTCCCGGGGACTCGGTCCCTGGCATCCAGTCTCCCGTTGCTCCTTTTAAAAACTGACACACAAACGAGGCGAAAGGAGCGGGAGAGGGCGGCTGGTGCTCTGGGCCCCCTCCCAGCCCGCAGCCAGGGGCGGCCGCCTGGGGACAGCGACCCAGCCCCGTCCGCATCTACACTTCATTTTATACCAGGAGCGGAATTGAGAAATCGACTCCAGATTTATTGCAGTTTTTTCTCAAGACCAGGAGGTGGGAAGCAGAGAATGATCAAAGATGGCGGTGCCCAAAAGCAGCAGCTCTCAACTGGAGAGTGGAAGGAGTAGCTCTGACCCCACCTCGGGGGTCTCCAGGCCCACTGTGGGGCGCAGCCTCTTACCTGTTTTCTCTTTGATCTCACACAGGACGCTGAAGAGCGCGGGTTTCATTCTGTGACAGTTCAGGGCATGTTTCCTAAAAAACAAATAGCAAAACACAAAGGTATTAGCATCACCTATGGAATAATATGGCGCCTTCCTTTAAGTTAGACCCAAGATTTAATTCCGGCCCTCTATTTTGGAAGGCTCCTTGGAACCACGGCAAGTCAACAGAAACTCAAGTTGACTAGTTAGCGACAGCCCGCAAGCTCCGGCGGCTAAAGCTCCAGCCCGAACGAGGCGCGACCCATCTGCCCGGCAGGCAGCAGCCTCGGCGACCGCAGGGCGCGAACCCGCGCGGGGAGCCTGGATACCCCGGCAGACGGCGGCGACCCGGGGGAGGGGACGGCGCGGCTGGGCTCCCGCGTCAGCCCTCCACAGGAGGAGCAGGAGCGGCGCGGGCGCCCGGCCGACTGCGGCCAGCGGGCGGTGACAGCTCGGCAAAGTTTGCGAGGCGGCCCTCCCTTCCCCGAGAACTTGGCCGCCCGCACCCGGACCCGCCAGGGAACCGCCCATCGCCCCGCGCCCGCCCGGCTGGGGCGGCCGCCCGCACAGCGAGGGCGTCCCGCGGCCAGTGGAGCCCTGCACCGCGACTCCCGGCCGGAGGAGAAAGTTGCACTTCCCGCAAGTGCGGCCCCAGGCCCTCTTGGGGCGGCGTGCACGGGGTCCAGGCGGGAGGTTTGAATCCGTGGGAGGGGGCCGGGCTGCCAGAGGGCCAGGCGAGGGAGGGCGAGAAAACCACAAAATCCGCGTGGCACCAAGTCCGTCCCAAGCCCCGAGAGCAACTTTGCCGACTCCCGCCCGCGTCGACGGGTGAGGGCAAGTCCCCCCGAGGCCCGGGCGGGCGGGCGATTTGCGGAGAAAGTTCCCTGCCCGGGGCTGAGGCCCCTGCCCCGGGCGCCACCCCGGGCCGCGACTCGGCCGCGGGCCCGGCTCCCGCACACACACAAAAGATGCTTAATGAGACGACACCAACTTTGCTTGCGCCTCGTCCAAGCTCTGGTCGGTGATGGTCATGATCTGGTGGAGGATGTCGCCGATGTCCTGCTTCCTGCCGTCGCCGTCCGCCCCTTCGTGGCCGTGCGGGGGAGGCGGCAGGGCCATGCCCCCCTGCACCGAGTGGCCGGCCAGGTTCACCCCGGCCAGAGTCTGCAGCATCCTGGATTGATCGTCCATCCCGCCGCGCGCGGGCGGGAGCGGGCGGCGGCGGCGGCTGAGGCGAAGGCTGAGGCGGCGGCGGCGGCGGCGGCGACGAGGGAGGAGAAGAAAAGAGG